TCTTTTTATTTATTTCTTGTTTAGACAGCCTTTCATGTAGCCCAGACTGTCTTGAGCCTGCTCTATTGCTGAGGATGACCTTGGACTTCTGACATTCCTGCCTCAACTTCCTGAGATCACAGGCATGGACCACCACACCCGGTGTGCGGTGTGGAAGAGCTAACCCAGGTCCTCATGCACTCCGGGTAAAAAGCACGATGCCTACTGGGGACTCCCAGGTACTGGAGCGTTACATCTGGCACCTGAACACCTGCTTCAGAAATCACTTGGTCTTCGCGCCTGCTACGAGCCTGGCACTGTGCCACAGAGAGACGGTGAGGAACACCTGGACAGGGCGAGCCTATCTACTGAGTGTGGCCAGGCGCCAGGCACGTCAGACTTGCTTTCTCTTGTGTGAAATCAGGGTATATGGGAGGAGTGACTCTGCCCCACTGATGCTGGTCTCTTCCCCTGGGCCTCCACAGCCCTCTGGGCGTGATGCACCCCACTCCTTCCGACCTCCTCTTGGCCCAGGACCCAGATCTGACACCATGTCCCACATCAGGAGTCTGGGTTCCTGCTACCCTCCCATCCCCCGTCTCCCCCGCCACCACAGCCAAATTGTACTACCACCTGCAAGATACGCCACATCTTCACCACACCTGGTATCCCCTCTGGGACTGGGGGCTCCCTGTTCAGAGCGGGGCCTTGCACCTGGCTCCCCTGGCTAGGATCTAACACAGATTCCATCCTCCCACCCCAGGAGGTGAGCGGTAAAATCGTATTAGTGAATGAATGGTGGAGGGAGACAGGAGCGGGGTCAGGCTGTGCCCAGGGAAAATGCCACTGGGCTCCAAGGCAGCTGGGACCAGTGCTCAGAACCAAAAGAAATCAGGGTGAGCCTCGGGGAGACCAGGCAAGGAGCCAAACGAGGAGCGGGAGGGGTGGGCCCCGGCGAGCCTGCCTCCCCGGCACTGGGTGCCAAGACAGCTGTGCCCAGGGAAAACAGATGTTCTCTGGGCTGAATGTGGGACAGGGGTGGGGGTGGAGCTGGGAAGGGGGGAAGGGGGCAGGGGAGAGCCTCAGCTGGGAGATGGAATGTCCGTAGATGTTCTTCTATTATTTAGTATCCCTTTTATTGTAGAAAGTTTCGAACGGGAACAAAATGGGGTGGGGGGGTGATGTCATAACGAATCCAGCCTGCTGATCTCGGCTGCAGCCCCACCCGTACCCCGCCATTCTTATTTTATGCCTCCCCTCAGGCCTCTTTGTAACAAAAATTCCAGACATATTCCACCCATAAATATTTCAGAATGTATCTCTCACATATTAGAACGTTTCTCAAAAAGCCCTCAATACCGCTGTCTCTTGCAGAGACATTAATGTGCAGTCCCTGCTCAAATTTCCTCATTTTCCTCAAAAGCATCTTTTTTAGGGCCCATTGATTTGAATCAAGATCAAACCAGTTTCGAGGGCTGAGCTTCTTTCATCTTTCTTCCTCCCTGGTGGCTGCCGTTTCCCTTGCTGAAGACACCGGGTCTTCTCTCCTGTACTGCTGTCCCCATGAAGGACCTGACGGGTTGAGCTTCACGATGTCATTTAACCCCCTGCTCTGGCCCCAGTCCTTGTGAACCAGGGCTGATCTGACAGAGGGCCAGCTGCCAAGGTAAGTGACTCCTGGGCAAGGCCGTGGGACTCCTACCAGCTCCCAGCCTGGAAGGATGCCAGCCATGATCAGTGCATTCTGGGGGACCAGCCTGATCCATTATAAAGTGCCGCCCCATCACAGCCCTGCACTGGACTCGACCCTCTAATACGATCCCCACATCCTGGCCCTCAGCGCCTCGAGGGACCAGAGAAACACACTCCGTCCTCTTTCTATCCGTCCCTCAGAGATTCCGAAGCCTCTATCGAAGGTGTGAGCTGCAGGGAACAGGGCTGACAGGACCCCTGAATGCTGGGACCACTTAAGGTCAAAGGACAGCCAACTCCGAAGTGAGGCAATGCCAGGGGGAGATGGCTGAGTCGGTAAACTACTTGCCTTGCAAGAACGGGATCTGAGTTCAAACCCAGACCCCTCCCCCATTTTAAAAAGTGATGGTGGCATTCGCTTTTTATCACAGTATTGGGAAGGCAGAGACAGGAGCATCCCTGGGGCTTTAATGGCCATTCTGTCTAGCCAAATCAATGACTTCTAGGACACTAAGAGACCCTGTCACATACACACACACACATACACACTGAGGGCACAGTCATCAGGAGCTGAAGGACCCACAGCAAGCAGGTGCACATATAACTGGGGGCCAGGGCGACCTTCCTAGGTTGGGACAGAGGGGTCAGTAGAGAGAGAGTGCAGAGGACCCTGAAGGAGACAGTGAGAACAGGCAGAAGCCTTCAGAGTGACAGGGCTGCTGAGCTAGGGACCCATGGGAAAGATGGAGCCACGGCCCTCACAGTCTTCTCCCAACCTTAACTACTGAGAGAACGAGCTTGGGGAAGGCAGGAAGGAATGGAGCTGATCACAAAGCTGCTTTCTACACAGGGCCCCGACCTTAGCCCATGGGTCAGGAAAAGCCACGTCACCTGGGAGAGCCACTCGCCAATGCACAGGGCCCGAAAAAGGCAAGAGGATGAGGCCCGGGGCTGCGGAGGCGCCTCCACCCTCCAAAATCATTCCATACAGAAGCAACTGACACAGGCCAGGCTCCCTCACACCTGACCTCTGACGCCAAGAAGGTTGAGCCACGCCCCTATGCCTCAGTTTCCAAACTTAAAAAAAAAAAAATAGTCATCGTAATGGTCCCCACTTCAAACAGGTGAATTTGAAATGACCTGGTTCATGTTAGATGCTTACAACTGGGGGGGGGGGGGACAGGGGGCGCAGAGGACAGGACTCAGGGTGTGGCTGAGTTGGTAGTACTTGCCTAGTGTGCTCAAAAGCCTTGGGTTCATCACCCCTACATACACACCAGCTTCACATAGGCACACACCTACAATCCGGGCAAAGGCAGAAGGATGGAACGTTCAAGCCTATCCTGAGCTGCGTTGTGAGCTGGCAGCAGGCTGGGCTGCATGAGACAGAATGAAAAAAATGAAGAGCCTGACCGACAGCGCCCTCCCGACGGCCTCTGCTTGTGTAGCCGGTGGCTTCTGTGTGCACAACAGGGCGACACTGAGACTCTCCATCCCTAGCTTCCTAAGTTCTGTCCCTGTCATCTGCCGGGCTGACTCATGGAAGGAACGGTGTGGGTGGGAGGGGCGCAGACTCGCTTGGCTCCTGGCTGGCTCCTATCGAGGGGTGAGGGCTGGCTGGAGAAACCCAGGCCCCTTTCAGTCTTGGCTTGGCAAGGGGAGGGCTTATTTCAGCTTACACTTCCTATCACACTTCCCGGGGGAATCCAGTGAGGGAACTGGAGGCAGGAATGGGGGCAGAGACCATGGAGGAGCGCTACTGACTGGCTGGCTTCCTCTGGCTTTCCCAGGGATGGCACTGCCCACAGTAAGTCCTCTATCAATTAGCCATCTAGGAAATGCTCTACAGACCTGCCCACAGGAGGCAATTCTTCAGCTGAGGTGCCTTCCTCCAACTATGTCAAATTGACAGCCAAGATCAGCCACCGAACTGCCCCATACCTTGGTCTACCCTCTATCTTCCTTGTCATGGGGCCACCTCAGTTGTCCAACCCAAGGGTCAGCTGCCACTCATATCCCTCAACTCGCCCCAGCTATGACCACCCCACAGTGTGCAGGCTTGGCTCAGCGCTCCAGGCCATAGATTGAGGGGACTGATGAGGCTACCCCTGGCTATCTCACCTTGCCCACTCCCAGTTCCTGCCTCTGCGCTCAAATGGATCCCTCGGCAGCCTGGGACCAAAGAGCTTGAGGACTGGCCCCACAGATCCCAGAGGGCTAAGCCGCACTCCCCCACCCCCTCCATCTGAGCACAGCCCCTGCTGGCTCAGCTCCTGTCCCCACCCAGCTATTCTGGGACAATGGAGGCAGCAGATGGTGGGAGCGCTTTTCTCTCCACCCAGCCCTCAGGTTCTGAGAATAAACCCAAACCTGCAGCCGCTTCTCAGAGGGGCCAGTGGCAGTGGACAGGGCTGTTCCCCTCATCACCAGCTCTGGGACGCAGGGCCCTCCTCCTGCCCGCAACCCACTCCCGTGATGTCAGCCAGGATGGCAGCTCTGGGGGGTGGGTCTCATGCAGCTGGATGCTGACCCGGCTCACCAGGCACACAGCAAACCCTCTCAGAGAGCGAGCCCCAGGCATCTGATGGTCCCTAACACACCAGGCACAGACGGACTGGGAGCATTCTGGTCCTTCAAGGGCAAAGGATGTGTTCAAAGGAGTTGTGAGCCCTGGCAGCCTGGGTCCAGCCACAGGCCTCTCCCTCCTCCCCTCTCTCAGAGCCCAGGCCTGGCCCCGACTCCCCGCATCACTGGGATCTTTGTAGGGCAAGAGAACTCCAGTCCCTCCCCTTTATCCTCCCCTGTGCTCCCTTCCCTGGAGGCTCCTACCACTCTGGTCCTGTTTATTTACCCATCCACCCTCCCTAGAGCCAGAGATGTTCAAGGCCATTGTATTCACTTGGCCTCTGTCTTGGCTACTCAATCAATCCTGTCACCTTTAACTGACACCCAAGCCAAATCCCTAGCTCCGAGTCATCAGGCTGACTTTCCAGATACCACGGGGTCCAGTCCACGCCGGGAGGGCAGGGAAAGGAGGCAGGGTCCTCAGCGCTGCAACTCACATAACCACACAGGTACGCATCGCGGCCACAAATACACCCCCCCCACACAGCTTACGTGCATACTCTTACACTGCCACACACACGAATACACGGCACACACATGCACAAACACACACACACCCCTCATAGACCTCATTCACCTCGCCCTCCCCCTCCCCGAACCAGGCTCTGAGCAGCACATCCCATCCCAGCACCAAACATGGCCATCGCCACAGATCAGAGACCTTGTTCCCAGCCAGGAACACTGGCTGTCCATAGCAGGGCAGATAGACTTAAATAAAGGTTTAATTTCTTAGAGATCAGGTGCGAGAGAGAACAGCTGTAGATGATTGTCTTGGCCTTTCTTTCGTGGTGACAAAGCAGCTCCCCAGATCCAGCCGTCACACGTGCATTCACAGTCGAAAGACAGGATCTTGGGCTGTGAAACTTACTCCAGAAGCCTCCTATTGGCCTTGTTCAGTTCCTGCCGGGCCCTCTGGTAGCCCCTCACAGCAAAGAAGGCTGGGACAGCGAACCAAAGGTTGGTCACAACGGGCAGGGATCCACCATCACCCATCTCGTGCCTGCTGAGTTTCCAAAGTCTAGGTCCGTTGGCCAGGTGAGGAGGGCCAGGGGCAGCCGAGACCAGTCCCACAGCCGCAGGTCACAGACTAAGGCCAGAGCCAGAGGCCAGACCTCAGTCAGGCATATGCCACTCTCAGGAGGGTGAGGGCCCTGGTCCTCTCCCCCGACACCAACTCAAACATCCCTGAGCCTGAAACACTTTCAACACCAACCACTGTCCAGTTCCTGGCCTTTCCTGTCACCTAGAGGCCCTGCCAGCGGGCACTGGACCAGGCATCCTCCGGACTGCTTAGGAGGTCGGGGAATGGTCAGACAGAAGCATCCATCAACCTCTGCGGCAGGCCAGAGCTCACGGCGCCATCAGCACCGGACACCAGGGTGTGTCCGGGTACAGGAGGCAATGGAGGGAACGAAACCTGCAGAGAGACCATCGAGGGGAGACAGTTAACGCCAACCTCGCTGCCCCACGGGCACTGTGAACGCTCAGCCCCGGGGAACTGTGTCACGTGGGGCTATCCTGCACCTGGCAGGACAGTGGCTGGCATCCCCAGGATGGAGCCATCAGAACTATCTCCAGACATTGGCAAAATGACCCGATTTGAGAACCTCTCCTTCGAGAGGCCTTGAAAGCCTGAGGGGACACCGAGAGCCCCCTGGCTGAGTTCCAGAATCTTCAGGCTCACAAAGAATCTAGCATCAGATATCATCAAGGCTAACGGCTCGCATGCCTCAGAGCTCACCCCACTCAGAGGTGGCGCCTTTCCTCTCGGAACTTTGTGTTTCTTTCCTACACTGAGCCAAACTCTATCTCCTTGAAAGAAGGCTGTGCTTACCATACCTGGCCCAGGGGTTTTTGGAACAGCACTGGGCCCCGGGGCTACAGATGGAGAATCTAAAACCCAGAGAGGACAAGACACTTCTCTAAGGTTACAGAGAAAACGTCACACACACACCTATTCTTTCTGCTCCCAGTTTGTGTGCTCAGACCCCGTGACCTGTGGCACGGCTCTCCCTCAAAGCTCCTCTGGCTTCAGGAGTCTCCGCTAAGTCTCCACCCCCATCCTGAAGGCTTGGCCCCATACCCACCTGGAGGGGTCCTCTTCATGGGAGAAGGGGCCCTGTAGCTTGATGATGTTCAGTTTCCCCTCAAATACACCATAGCTGAGGGTGACCTGGGGGAAGACGGGAGGGGATTGGGGGATGTCGCACTGGGGAGGGCCACAGGGGACCAGCAGAGAAGACACTGGGCCATTAGAGAGGCCTGGCCATTGAGTCCCCCCACCCACCAACAGAGCCCAGCCCTCCCCAAAGTTTTGTTGACCACCAGGGCTCAAAATCCCCACTCTGGCTACACCAGATGTGTGCCACAATTAGCTTAGTTTTCTGGGCCTCGGTTTTCCTGTCTATAGAATGGGGAAGGTACTTGCAGCTAGCCTTCAGAGATTTTTATTTCTTCATTTTTAGACAGGGGTTTGAACTCTGATCCTCTTGCCTCTACTTCCAAGTCCTGGGGTCAGAGGACTGCACTACCAGACCTGGTTTCTGAAGATCTAGGGACCAAACTCAAGGCCTCATGCACACTCCATAAGCATTCTACCCACTAAGCTACACCCCAGCCCTAGAGTCAGCCCTCTGCATCTGCAGCTTCCACATCCGTGGATTCAGCCATCCATGGGTTGAAAATATCTCAGCGGCTGCAACTGTGCTGTGCACTTTTTTCCCCCCTTCTCATTTATTCTCTAAACAACACAGCATGACATCTTACTGAGGCTTTCTATCCTATTAGGAACGGAAAATAAACCCAGAGCTGACTTAACGTGCGTGGAGGAGGGGTATGGGCTTTGCCCTTCTGAGGCCCTTCACATAAGGGACTGCAGCTGAGGGCCTGGAGACACTGAGGGAGGCCTATGCGGGCACTATGTGACGACTGAAGTGAAGAGGACAAGCCCCCCCCCCACTGCCACATGTGTCAAAGAGCAATGGCAGTTAGATGCCCTGTTTTGCCCCCCCCCTTCCCGGCTTTCTAATGGGTGGGCCCCACACCCTAGTTCCCTGCCTAGCCAATCAAATGACTCTAGGCACGGTCCCAAGCTAGGCCCTCTGACCCCCAGCCAACACTCTCTCTCCATGGTGCCTACAGATGTAGGGCTGTGTGAGCCTGTCATCCCAAGGACTGAGTCACCGGAGGACAAGGCCACTGGAGAGAGTTTAGATGGGACAGGAGACAGACCTTCCGAACGCCAAGCCCTGTCTCTCTTTGGTAGTCAGTTACATATGAGCCTCTGTCGTGTGTACCTCAAATTTTGACTCTGTAAGGCAAAAGAGCTCAGGACTTGGAGGGGGCTCCAGGGAGGAGCTGGAAGGGCTGCTAGGCTCTTCTAGCGGGCTGCTCAGGAGTGTAGAGGGAAAGGTGGGGGGGGGGTTCAGAGTAAAAAGAAAAATGGGGGGATCGGGGGCTCGGAGAGCTGGCGGCAGCACCTATGCCTGTGAAGTCTCCCTAGACTAAAGAGATAGGAGACCTGAGCCACTGTTGGGAAGGGGTGCCTGCCTCCCTGGGCCTCTGTTTTCCCATCAGTTTGTGGAGGCCAGGCCTCCATAAGCTCAGTTTCCAGGTTGTTTTCAAGGACCCCAACCTTCTTCTGGGGAGACTCTCTTCCCCACCCCTGGGCCTCTGCTCTGCAGCTGGCTCACCTGCTCCAGAAGCTGGGCGGGCCCCAGCAGCTGCAGGGTCTCCAAGTGTGAGTGGAAAAGGGGACTGGGCTGCAGGCGGACCCCCAGCTTGCACTCGATGATGTAGCCCACGGTGCAGTCGTCAGGGAGCCGGATGCGAGCTGAGGTGTCCACGAAGTGGGAGCCACTGAAGGACAGAGATGGATGGTGGCCACTGACCCAGGTTCTGCCCAATGGCGCCCCCTCCCACCTCCCAGCAGGCCCTGCACCAGGCCAGCATACTGCACTGGGACACTGGACAAGCCTGGAACCTGGGGATTCTCAGCCTTCTCCCCTGAGGAATGGGCTGACAACAGCCCTGCCTCCCCCGGGTCTTGGACTGACTGGGTAGAGGAATGGCAGGGACCCTTGACAAACACATCCTTTCTGTTCCCCAATTTCCTCTCATTCTTTTACTCAGAGTCACTGCTGAGCTTGACAACCCCTAACCCCTTGTACCCTTGGTACCTAGGGATGAGGACCCAGACATGAGAAAGAGGCATTTCCTCCCTGCCACAGATTGAGGGGTACTGAGGCTGAGGCCAAGTCAGAGGGAAGCATGTGGGTTGGGGGGGTGCTGGGGAGAAAAGGTGGACTTCCCAGAGGCAGCAGCACGCTTTTAATGGCATCAGCCAGTGTCCCAGGGATCATCTCCCCACTGTCCAGGGCCATCAGTGTCCTTTCCCAGGATGCCTGGCCAGGGGTGGGATGGGCACAGAAACCCAGGCTGCGTGTCCCCCGGCTGCACAGGTAGCTGGGGAAGGGTACCACAGGGCTGGGCAGAGCACAGTGGGGCAACCTACTCACAGAGGTGACCTCTGGGCACAGGTGCACACCTGCTCTGGGTTTGCCCTAGGGACAGCTTGCCCTCTGACAGCCTGAACCTTCAGGGAAACTCTTCCCTCCTCGGTCAAGGAAGGGCAGACAAAGACAGTGGCTGAGCGGCTGTGTGACCTTCAGCCTGGATAACCTAAGGCTCGTCAGCCTCTCACGAGGGTTCTGGAAATGGCTCTGCCTTCCCCCCTGATATGGACAAAGACCCATGCAAGCTCATGACCACTGACGCCAGCTGTGCCACTTCCAGAATGGCAGAATCCACCCCCACATTCTCCCAGATCCCTCTCCCAAAGGGGCCTACAGGGGCGCCTCAGATAAAATGCCACCTCTTCCAGGAAGCCTTCCCTCCTGTCCCCAGTCAAGAGCCCCTCTCCCCCATCTCCAAGGCTTCCTATGCTTGGGCCCAGGGCATCAACTATCAGAAGGTGAAAAAAGGGCTACCAAGGACCTCTGACCCACCGCAGGTGTCCACCCAGACATTTTCCCATGAAGCCCTTACAGTATCATTAGCCACTAATTTTTGTTGTTGTTTTGGCATTTTTGGTTGTTTTTTTTTTTTTGGGGGGGGGTTGGTTTTTTGAGACAGGGTTTCTCTGTATAGCCTTGGCTGTCCTGGATTCACTCTGTAGACCAGGCTGGCCTCAAACGCACAGAGATCCGCCTGCCTCTGCCTCCGTGAGTGCTGGGATTACAGGCGTGTGCCATCGCGCCCAGCTCTGGCCACTGATTTTTTAATTTCTACTTACAGATGGGGAAACTGAGGCAGGATGTACTGAAGCACACTCCATAAAAGCCAACCCACAGACCCGGGCTGCCCTAACACAACTGAATAAGAAACAATTTCCCCCGGGGCACCCTCTTGCCTCTTCTGCCTCAAAGGCCCCTCACATTCACCACAGCCCCTCATACACCACAGCCTTCCCGCCCCACCCCCGCCCCGGGGCCTCTGCTTACCTGGCCCACGGCACCATCTTCAAAGCCAGCTGGCGGTTGATGCAGAAGCCAGCACCCCCTGTGGCAAACCAGAACCGCACCAGCCTCTAGAGATGACAGAGATGTGGAGTTAGCCCAGGGAACTACAGGGCCACCAGCTAGACCGCCCCTAATCCCCAGCCATCATGACCCGGAAGCTCTGTACCGCACACCTTGCTGATGACTGAAGCCTGGATTTAGGGTGCCCATTTCACAGATAGGGAGCCAGGGCCCAATGTCACCCACAGGGGAGCCCTAAACCCAGCCCTAGTCTGGTGTCCTTGAAGAGGAGGCATTTGGTCTGGGACACTCCTGTAGGCCCCCATAGGAGAGGGATCCCAAAGGTGGACGTGGTGACATGCGCCATTTTACCCTCTTCCTCTGAGGTGGACCCTGGCACCTGCTCCTTTAGGTCGCAAAGGTGGTCTGGTGGAATGAAGCCCAGGGCAGGGCCTCTTGTCCAGAAATAGGCACATGACTTAGGCCGGCCAATCAGAGCCCTTCCCAGAATGCTCTAGGAAGACTGTAGGGGAGAGGCCTCTATCACAGGGTCCCTAGCCTGAGGGGGCTATTCCCTGATTCCACCCACACCATGTCTCGTGTTCTAAGTTCCTGAGACAGGGAAAGGTTTTCTACAGAGAAAGAGCATGAAGCCACCCCTGGAATAAAGACAGAACAGTCTTGGAAGCACCTGTGGGCAAGCAGCCCCTTGGCATTGCCATCCCAGGAGCGGGTAGCACCCCTTCCACCATTCTCCCCCTGCCCAGACCTCTTCCGGGCTCTCCTGTGAGGATCCTGAATTCACCTGTGGGTTCTCCAAGCCTTTTGGAGAACTTTTCCCTTCCACACTTCATCTCCTGATCTAACAGTAACCTGCCCCCGACCCCGTGCCTTCCCCCAAGTCCACAGTTGCTGCTTCATAAAAGCATACTGCATTGGGCTGAGCTTTCCCCCATGCTGCTGCCGTGGAAAGACCCCTGGGCAGGCAATGAGGAGGCCCAAGTCTCCCTCCTGTCCCCTGCCTGGCTGCGGGACCTCGGGGGAGCCGCTTCCAGGATCTGGAATTACACCTGAGAGCACAGATGTCCTCATTCTGTCATCAGCCCTCCTTTCTAACCTCCTTCCACAACTGTCCTTTGGAGAAAGTTTGGGCCTCCGAGACAGGCAGAATGACTGTCCCTCCAGGTCCCAGCATTCAGGAAGTGCTCAATAATTGTGCGCTTTATTAAAATTAAGAAGTGTGTGGCTTCCACTCCTGTGTCATTACAGTTACCACAGGCTAAGAGAGCCTCAGCCTGAGCCAGCCCTGTGCCCGGCCCTGTGCTAAGGGCCATACCCCAAGCACACTGACCAAGGCACAAACTGGGGTCATTTGCCTTAGAGTGCAGAGCAGGAACCAATGCCAGACCAGAGACCCTTTGCCTTTGCTGTTCCATTTGGAGAACTTCAGGCTCGGCACTGGCATGAGCACTCTGGAATTCCAAGAGGGGAGAAGGATGTTCCCTCTGGCAATACATGCCAAGGAGAACAGCAGGCATGTTGTGGGCATGTCTGTCAGCCTGACACAACAAACCAGAGGCACCTGGGAAGAGGGACCCTTAACTGAGACAACGCCTCCATCAGATTGGCTCGTAAGCAGGTGTGTGAGGCATTTTATCGATTGATGATTAATCTGGAGGGGTCCCCTAGCCCACTCTGGGTGGTCCTGGGTTGTATAAGAAAGCAAACTGAGTAAGCCCTGAGGAGCCCGCCGGTAGGCAGCACCCCTCCAGGGGTTCCTGCCTTTATTTCCCTTGATGATGCATAATCCAAACAAGCCCTCGGGGAGGCCCAAGTCACTTCTGGCCATGGTATCTATGGCAGCAAGAGAAGGCAAAGTAGCACAGTGGGGCTCAAGGTGTGGATGTACCCAGCCAGGCATCGAACTGGCCAGGCAGGCGGTGGCTAAGAAACGAAGCCCATACTATTCATCCAGTCCCCAGACCAGGGGCTCTGACAGATGACGCCACCGGACCCTTATGCTCCCAGGTACCCTGTGAGCAATGGCCGTTACCACCTGCCCCACTGAGGCACAAAGAGGTCGCCCAACTTCAATCAGGGTCACCAAGCCAGGAGTGACAGGGCTGGCGTACGAATCCCGGACCGCACGCTCCAGCCCGGGAGCCTCAGGCCTGGAGGCAGAGGGGCTCAAGCTGGGTGGGAGGTCAGGTGGAGACCAGAGACACCCCTCGGCTCACCTGGAGAGTCGTGCGCACACACACCCTGGGGCCCAGGAGGATTTAATTAGGGCTCAGCGGCTGATGAGCTACTGATAATTAAGGATCCACTTTCCCCAGAGCAGCAGATGGTGGCCTGGGGAGGGAGGGGAAACCTTTAGCAGCATCAGGGTCTCCGGATTGGGCCTCCTCCCTGCCTTCCCCCTGCCCCAGGCTTACTACCCAAGCCCCAGAAGCCAGGCAGTACTGGGGGCAAGGAAGAACCGTGCAATCTGGGGGATACAGGCAAAACCTCATTATTTATCTGAAGTCTAGTAGAGGCAGGTCCCAGCTGTCCTGGGTTTGGTTGGTTTTCTAACGTGGCCATCCTCTGACTGTCTGTTGGTTCTGCAGTGAAGCTGGTTCCGGTCCCCCTAGCTCCTGGTGCCCACACTTCCGTGGCCAGAGAGTGAAGAAGTCACAGGGACAGCCACGTGATGGGGTTGATCTCCATCCCCGAGCAAACTACCCGGCCTGGCAATACTGTGGGATTTTTCGCTCTATAGCCCAGGCTGCCCTAGGAATCCACTACGTCACCCGGGCTGGCTTTGAACCAGTGACCAGCTGTCTCAGCTTCCCCAGCATGCGCTGTAGCCCTGGGGATCAAACCTAGAGCGGGGAGCTTGGTCGTGGAGTCAGGAAAGCCCAGCGGGCCTCCTTGCTAGGCCAGGGTCCCTCGATGAACAGAGACCTTACTGTGCAACCAGGCCCCACCTCCGGTGGTCTCGCCCCTGGCATCATCCCACACCCCCACCTCCACCTCCTCCCCCTCCCCCATCCCCCAGGAGATCAACAGCCAACCGGAAAAGGAGAAAGGCACTTACCGTGTGGTTCTTTGACAGCAGCTCAGAGGCGTGAATGGGCCGGTTCAGGCTGGGCTTGCCCAAGTAGACATCACGGTCCCTCGGGAAGGTTTTCAGCAGCTGTAGCAGCGCCCTGGGGTTCAAGTAGTTGTCATCATCCACATGGCAGAACCACCTATGGGGACGGGGCCACGGTGAGCTTGCGGGAATGCTGTGTTCCCAGGCGCCCCACCACCACCTCCAGTCAACGGCTAAAAGCTAGGAGTCAGGCAGCAGCTGTTTCGGACTCCTCAAGCCTCGGGACCTAGTGGGAAACCTAGCTCTATGTTAAGAATGAAACTTCCTACCTGAAGAATGAAAGTTTGAGTCAGTACCGATTTTTTTAGGCACTGGGTCAGAAGCTTCCAAACACTGTCTTCATAATTCAGTCTTCTTACACGTTTAAGCACAGTGAAGGTTTAGAGAAAGGTTACCGCGTGGCAAATTATTACAGCAAAGCTTTAGGCACAGCTTCATAGAAACATTCCAGCAAGGTAACAAAACTTCACAATAAGAATGAATTCTCCTGCCTGATAAACAGAGCTCAGGCTAGGGCCCAGAGGAAGGGGTCTATTGGTGGAGGATGCAAAGCTCTGGGACCTTTTCACATAGGGATGAGCTCTAGTCACTGAGAAACATAAAGCCCAGGATTAGGGCCTACCCAATTCTCGGGATGTCGAGGGCATTCAGGTGGAGGCTGGCTCCTAATAGAGCAGTAAAGAAAGGGTCACCTGCTTGGTTGACCACTTTCACTGGTGTCCAGGGGACCGGGCGTCATTCATTCCTTCCATTGGAGGAAAATGGCCCACGTGATGGACAATCCTATTTTCTCCAATGCTTGCCCTAGACCAGTGGCTCTCAACCTTCCTAATATTGTGAGCCTTTCATGCAGTTCCCCATGTTGTGGCGACCCCCTCCCCAACCACAAAATGACTTTCGTTGCTGCCTCATAACTGCAATGTTGCTACTGTTATGAATGGTAATGCAAATGCCTGATAAGCGGGAAATCTGATATGCAACCCCTGGGAAAGGGTTTGTTTTGTTTTGTTTTGTTTTTAAAGGGGGCCGAGACCCACAGGTTGAGAATCTCTGCTCTAAGCCATGCTTCCTACAGGTAGCTACGATTTGAAGCCCATGTTTGGGGCCAGGCAAGCACATTATGTAACCTTGAGGGAAGAGATAGCTACAGAAGACTTCAAAAACTCCAGAGGCAGTGAGTGACAGGACTTGACTCCAGCTGCCTGCTAGGTGGGAAAGGGTGAGTCCAACCCCAGGCCCCTCCATTTTGTAGGGGAGAGGGGTGCTGGGGTGTGTGGTCAGGCACAGATAGGTGTGCACGCATGCAGAGGCCGGAGGCCAACCTTGGGTGGTGTCCCTCTGGTTACCATCTGCCTTGCTTTCTGAGACAGGGGCTTGGGAGATGATAAGGAGCCAGTGAGCCCCAGGCACCTGCCTGTCTTCCACCCCGAGCACCGGGGTTAGAAGCATATGCATGTGCTTTTGGAGTAGGTGTTGGGTATTGAACTCAGATCTCTGGGCTCTCACAGGAATAGTACCATATTCCCCAGGCCCAACACTCTACTTTCTTGACACAATACTCAGTTCCAAAGGTGGGCTGAAGCCAGCAAGGTGACTCGGGTGGTAGAGGGCACCTGCCAGAAATACGATGAGAAGACAGAACTAACTCCCAAAAGTTGTCCTCTGACCTTCACGCAACGCCATGGCACGCATATACCCACACACATGTAAAGACACACATAAATAAATAAATGTGATTTTAAAAATTAGCCAGGTATTGTGGCTCATTTTTTTAGTTCCAGCATTTGGGAGGCGGAAGCAAGCAGGTCTCCGTGAATTAGAAGCCATCCTGGTCTACATAGTAATACCAGGACACTTAGAGCTACGTAATCAGACCCTGTTTCAGGGGAATGTGTGTGTGTGTGTGTGTGTGTGTGTGTGTGTGTGTGTGTGTGTATGTGTTGGTGGGGTCAGGGGAAACTTTAAAGACATGGCCTGAGGCCAAAGTCATTCCTGCCCCTGGAACATAGCAACACTCACCTGAGCCCACTGGCCAAGAAAGCATCAAACTCTGCAGCCATCTTGCAGGACAGAGCAGGATGGCTGTGCTCTGCAGAACAGTTGGTGACCACAAGGTGGGCGCCTGGAAAGGAGAATCAGTCAGGGGGCCTGCCCGCCTCCTCCCTCATCACACGGACCCCTGAGAATATAGGGTGAAGCCAGACCTCAGAGAGCCTAGAGAGCTCATTCGCTCCCAGGGAAACTGAGGCAGCAGATGGAATGGAGGCCCAGGTGTTCAGGGCCTTGTCCATCAGCCTCTTTACAAACATTCTCTGTTCCTGGCATAAGGTAGTCCCCAGTGCCAAAGGCAGGAGAACTAATTCCTAGGGACCCCAAGGCCCCATCACAGCCACCCTGCCTTTCCTGCCAACAGTGGAAGACCCCCCTTCACTCCCAGCCAGCAGTTACCTAGTCTCTCCTGGAGGCTCTCATCTGGGCTGTCAGTGAAGACGAACGTCTGTGGGGAGAAGGAGGCATCAAGATAGGTTGACAGCGGGAGGCCCCCAATCTGCAGCCCACCAAAGCCAGGCCCCAGATTAACCCCACACAGGGAGACATAGGCATGGCAGCCTTCTGTCCTCTGTCCTCAGACACATCCTCCTCATGCACACATACAGCTAAGCTCTCAAGGACACACAACTCCAGGCTGCAGGAGCCCAGTTATAGCTGCTCTCCAGGGCCGGCCTACTCTTAGGTGACTCAGCCCTCTTCCACATACAATGTCACAGCCACCCTTGGCCACCGTCCTGGTTATTTTCTTTGTCAACTTGACATAAGCTAGAGCCATCTGGGAAGGGGGAACTGCAAGTGAGAAAATGCCTCCTTCAGGATGGCAAGACTGTAGGTAAGACTGTAAGGCATATATTTATTAAAAATTGATGTGAGGGCTGGAGAGATGGCTCAGTGGTTAAGAACACTGTCTGCTCTTCCAGAGGTCCTGAGTTCAATTCCCAGCAACCACATGGTGGCTCACAGCCATCTATAATGAGATCTGGTGCCCTCTTCTGGCATATATGCAGTCAGAGCACTCATACATATAAATAAATAAATATTTTTTTAAAAAAATGTGAAAGCCAGGCACAGTAGCACATGCCTTTAATCTCAGCACTACTCAGGGAGGCAGAGGCAGGCAGATCTCTGTCCATTCGAAGCCAGCCTGGTCTACAAAGCAAGTCCAGGACAGCCAAGGATACATAAAGAAACTGTCTCAAAAAAATAAAAATAAAAAATAAAAACTGACGTGAGAGGGCCCAGCCCACTGTGGGTGGTGCCGCCCCTAGGCAGGTGGCCTGGATTGTAGAAGAAAGTAGGCTGAGAAAGCCATGGGGATCAGGTCAGTAAGTAGTACCCGGCTGTGGCCTCTGCTTCAGCTCCTGCCTCTGGGTTTCTGCCTTGAGTCCCTGCTCTGACTTCCTTTATGAAAAATTGTAACCTGTAAGCTGAAATAAACCCTTTCCTCCCCAAGTTTCTTTTGGCTCTTTTGTTTGTCACAGCATAGATAGCAAAGCTCCTCAAACCCTAATCCACAGGAATGCACAAACTGTAGGACTTCCCTGAGCCAAATCCTCAGACATCATACCATTTGGGGAACAGCCAAATGGTAGGTGAAGATCAGTCTCTTCATCAACCAAATACCAGCTCCAAACCGGGCAAATTCAAGCCCTCCAGAATCTGTCTTTGGGCAAGAGAGAGTCACAGCAGAAAGGCAATGTCACCCCCTCGCAGAGCTAGTACAGTACATGCAGAATTCCCCCAACTGCCTGTGGTAGTTTGAATAGGAATGGTCCCCACAGATTCATGTGTTTAAATACTTGGCCCACAGCGAGTGGCACTGTTAGGAGGTGTGGCCTTGCTGGAGGAAGTATGATGTCACTGGGGGGCGGGGCTTGGAGGTCTCCTATGCTCAAGGTAGGCCCAGGGTGACACACAGTCTCCTGCCGCTGCCTTCGGATCAGAGTGTAGAACTCCCAGCTCCTCCAGCCCCGTGTCTGCCTGTCTTCTGCCAAGCTTCCCATCATGATGACAATAAACGGAAACCTCTGAAACTGTGAGCCAGCCCCAAATCAAGTGTTTTTCTTGATAAGAGTTGCCATGGTCACGATGTCTCTTCACAGCAATAAAACCCTATCTAAGGCACTGCCTCAACGGCATGGGTCTTGAACATGTCCACAGAACACCATGAAGGCCTTTGGTAGTGTCCCTGACTTTGGGCTGCACTGCCAGCATTTGGAACACTTCGAGCCACTTCTAAGTGAGGGCTGAGGAAAGGACATCCCCCACGTTCAAGGCCTCTGGGATCTCCATCCCCTGGGCCCACACCTGTGCGAACCCCTCTATCGTCCTTCCAAGACCAGGCTCCAACAACAGTCATCCTCCTTGCTCATCCACAACATCCTCACTCCACAAGCCAGCCAGCCCTCCCAGACCAGAACAGCCCCTGTCCTGGGCCTCAGTTTACCCATCTGTAAAGCCAGGAGTGGGGCACAGGGAGGCATGGGGTACGAGGGAACCAGGCCTCTCTCCCAAGGCTCACAACCGCAAGCTTGCTTCAGAACCACTTCTCTAGTAGATTGTTACGAGACTCTGCCTTGGTCCTCAGACCTACCATCCTCTCAAGAGCAGGTAGGTAGCACCTGTACCCACTTCCCTTAGGATAAGACTGGTCTGGACTGGAGAGATGACTCTGCAAGTCATCTTGCAGATGTACGGGCAAGAGTACGGGCTGCTCATCCAGAGGACGCATGTTTGAATCCCAGCACCGGCATGGTGACCCACAGCTGTCTGTAACTGCAATCCTATGGGGGACCCAGCGCCCTCTGCTGGCCTTCATGGGTACTGCATGCACATAGTACGCAGCTAGACATGCAGGCAAAAATACCCACATACATAAATAAAACACCTTTAAAAAAATAAAAAATAAGGTAAGTGTGGTCAAGGAAGAGACATCTGACCCTTGCCACCGGATGTGACTTTACCTCAGCGCTCCCCCTGTCTGTCCCCAGTGTCCCAGCACCTGGCTCTCTAGGGAGACTGGGTAGTGTCTTCCTTCTGAGCCCTCTTCCCGGGGTCTGCTTCTGCTGTCACATCCAGCAGGTGCCAGAGGCCTGGAGATTCTGGGGAGAGCGTGTAGCCTTGGCCTGGTATCTTCCTCTTTACCCCTCCCCATGCATGTGACATTACCACCTGAACCCCGGAGCCCTCCTCCACACCTGCTGCTGGGCCTCCTGCTAGGCCCCAGCCTCTCAAATCCCTGTCACCAAAATTTTTCCCCTGAAGGATGGAGCATTAAGACTGAGGCTCTAAAAAACTCGAGCAAGGGCCAGCACCGGGGCCCGTGGCATAGCACTTACCCAGCATGCTCAAGCCTTGAGTTCAATCTCTTAACACTAGGGTAGGCGAGGGAGACATCCACCCCTCCTTCTCCCAAAAAAGGAAGAGCCAGGGCTCATGGATAGAGCATCTTCACTTGCCTGTGCGAGGCCCTGGATTACACAACCAGCATCAAAAGGATGAATCTCTCACCCTCCGTCCCACACAGCCGTGCCCACTTCCTGCTTGCTGGGTCTCGGAGCCTTGGAGTCACCATGCCTCTTGTCTTTCCCTTGCGCCTCATGTGGTCACTGAGTGCACTCAGTCTCATCCTCCGTGGTCATCCTGGCCTCTGTCTTTCCCTGCTCCCGCCCCTGCCCCCAACACCACTCCTGGCCCAGCCATTCTCCTGGGCCCCCTGACTGTCTTCCTTGGCCGCCTGCTCCATCCTGCCCTCACCCAAGCCTACTTGCCACACAGCTCCAGAGGGAGCCAGCCAAGAAGTCAGGACTTTCTTGCCTGATGGCCTGGCATATTTCTGCCACCAAATGGCCACGGGGGAGCAGAAGACTGAAAATGTCTGCTGAGGTGGGGCGGGGAGGTGGGGCAGAGTTAGAGAAAGGGCCAGAGTCTGGGGTCGGAGCGGACCCAGGAGCCCCGTGGTTTTAGCTCCTGGGAGAACAAGCAGCAGCCTGCATTTGATTTACTTAAGCAAGAGACCCAGACAATGGTTAGTTATAGCTCCACGGGCTGGGAAACAAAGAGAAAGCCAGCCTGCTGGGGCAGGGGAGGGAGTGGCCCAGGACCATCTGCTACAGTGAAGGGGAGAGAAGGCTGAGGCTGTCTCCCCCTGCCCAGGCCCCGCCCAGGAGGGGACGAGAGGGAGAAAGGCCCCTTCAAGCTTAAAACACACAAAACAGCCTTCCCCGCCCACCCCCTCTTCCAGACAAAGGCTATACATGGTCTGTCCCAGCACACTAAGCTGAGGCCACCTGTCACCCCATCACCTTTAACCAGCCGGGTGCCCAGTACCGAAGTTAACCAGCCAGGGCGCTTCCCAGACACGGCTTGTGTTGTGCGAATGTGGAAACTGAGGGCCCATAACCAAGGCCACAGGAAGAAATGAGCCTGGGAGTAAGGAAGGAGCCTCCTCGTAGCCCACTTCCTTCTGCACCTGGCCGTTCTTGCAGAACCTTTTCCCTGGTTGGGGTTCCAACACCTTTGCCACCTCCGTCTGACCCCCATCTGTGGATGGGAAGTCAGTACCTGCTGCACAGATGCCTGCCAGGGTGAAGGGTCCTTTGCCTACAGCCCCTTAGGGAAGCTGGCAGGTGCCCCCTCGGCCTGGGTGCCTGCTCGGGAGAGCCTGAGACACACGTTTAGCTAGCTGCCAGCCTCTCTCGCCAAGCTTGTCCTGCCAGGCACCAGCACCAGCTGGCCTAGGACCAGGAGCACCCCAGTAACGCTAAAAGCTCCGCTTTGGGGGCACGGCTGAAAAGAAAGGGGCCCAGTTGAGAAGCAGGAGCAAGTCCCGCCGTGCCCTTCCTCTTCTACAGCCTTAGTTTCCTCATTCAGGGCCAGGGCACCCTAACAGTGAGCAAGACAGGAAAGCGCCGGGGACCACGTGAGGCTTTGCTCCCTGGTACACACAGATGCAGCTCCATAAACAGGAAGGTCTGTGCGGAGGTCCAGCCCTGCCGGCTTCCGAGGAGGAACTGCATTCTCCCCAACACAAGAAACTACAACTACACAGGAGTGGAGGGGCTGGGGTGCAGGGAGCTCTTGGGAAAGGCCTCGTGTCTGGGCCGGATATGGTGCCAGGAAACGGGGGAGGAGGGCATCCTCTCAGGTACCCCCACCTTTCCCTCACTGAACCACCTCCTCTTCTCGGCCTCCCCTGCAAGGGCTCATTCACTTCCGCCCACAGAGACAGCAGCCCCATTGGGAACAGAGTATGTGTGCACAGAAGTGTGGGAAATCACCTCTACCCACGAGGTGGTCCCTGGCACACTCCCCCATCCCTGGGTTTTTGATTGATGGGGTCTTGAGTATGTGAGAGAGAGGCTCTTCCTTCAAGAACCGCATTTATTAGCCACACTTTCTTATTACCGTGTTTAGCATACCTAGCTCCGTGTGTGAGAAATGTACACACACACACACACACACACACACACACACACACACACGTATTCCAAAAACTGACACATCTCCCCCTCACCTTGACCTCCTGCCCACTCTGCCTCACCCACTGCTCCCCAGCCGCAGCCCAGCCCAGGAAACCGGGAGGCTATGCACTGCCCTCACACCTCACACCCTGGGCAGCACCGGGGAGCAGGACCAGAGAGGAAGCCTCCCTCCAGCAGGGTCTCCCCATCATACACATCAACCACACCCCAGCTCCACACAGCCTCATCCACGCTCAGAGCCGAGCCGAGGGAGGCAACTCCTCAGGCCTGTTGGGGGCGTGGAGGAAGGAAGGAATGGAGAGCCCCCAGAAGGTCTGTCTCCCTGGTAGGCAGACCACCGGGAAGACCCCTGTGAGCCCCCCTCAGGTGGGAACTCTCTCCGGCCTCAAAGCGGCCAGCCTGTCACCTGTTGCCTGGTCCTGGAGACCCACGTGTCAAGCAGCAGGTCCAGGCGGGAGCGGTGGAAGGCCCGGGTAGTCTTGACTGCGATGAAGATGTCGCCCAGCTGCAGCTCCAGGGGCCCTGGGTTCGGCTGGTTCAGCCTGGGCGTGCCCTGCGCCGTCCGCAGCGACAAGCTTGGATGGTAGCGTAGAGACAGGAGCCCCACACACAGGAGGGTAAAGAGGGCTCCCGCCAGGCCCCGGAAGACCCGGCAGTGCATTGGTACCGGGGTCCCCCCCAACCCCCGCAGACAGTTCAGCCCCCGACTCCCCAATCAGTCTGGGGTGGGAGGCTGGTCAGGCGGGGGCCCTGGGACAGGCAAAAGTCTGGCAGGCATCGGGGGCAGGCACCGACCGGAAAGGAGGAAGCTGGTCTCTGGACCCAGAGGCTGAGCCACCACTGTCCCGCCAGCCGGCAGAGGCCACCAGCCCGCCACCTGCTCCTCAGCCCTCCCTTCCTCCCTCCGTGCTGAGCTTCTTAGCTCCCGGCCCCGCCCCTGCCTCAGCCCGAGGGGCGGGGTCAGGCCTGGGAAGCCCCAGAGGCAGCTGCAGGGAGCCGCCCACTGAAGGGGCACGGGGTCCTGCCAGCTGCTGCAGCCACACCAAACCCTCCCTGAGGTGGGAAGAAGCCCCTCCAGCCTTCCTGAGCCCCACAGCCCTGTCTCTGGCTCCTACAGAACCCATTATTTCAGAGTCCTGACTAACCAGGCTCATTTCCCCTCCTGCTTGCCCTCCCCATCACCCATCCGGCCCAGGTCTAACACAGGACCCTGCCCACCATACCTCTCCCTCGAGATCACGTCTTGCCTTCTTTGAATCCTTACACAAGCGTTATTTCCACCCCGAGTTGCCCCCTGCCCACTTTATTAAAACAGCCGGCCTTTCTAGCCCCCAAGCTTGGACCTGTCCTACTTTCAGTCTTCCAGTGTATTTTACACATTTAATGTCTTGTTTGTGAGACTACTGGGGCAGGGGTTTTCTTCTCTTTTGTTGACCATCCTGTGCCCAGTCCGGTGCCTGGCACATACTAGGCACTCCATCAATACTTGTTAATCATGTTAATTAGCCACAGGAAGGTGCTTGATGGCTGTGAATGGACAGAGGCCTGCTCAGGCCTGGTGATACACTACAACGAGGCATTGGCCGCAGCCGTGTTTCCCCTCAAACAGCCCACATCCTCAGAACAGTGCCACCAGGGAAAAGCCTAGGCTTGGTGCTGGGTTCAGATCCCAGACAGGGCCACTACCTGGCTGTATGGCTTTAAGGCAGGATCCCTCTATCATTTACAAAACGATGCTGAGGGCTTGCGAGACAGTTCAGCAAGTAAGGGTGCTTGCCACCAAGCCCGAGGACCTGAGCTCCATTCCCAGGTTTGTGCAAGCTGTCCTCTGACCTCCACACAGGTATGGGCCCGCGATTTGCTGAGTCTCCTGTACACAGAGGCCAGGCTCCTCAGGTCGTTCACGTCCTGCTGGCTTCAGCGACCTGCCCCAGAGGACACTCTGTTGATGGGGAAGGCAGGGCTGAGGGCCCACACACAGACACCTGGCACCAGGGGCAGGTAAGGTGATGCCAGCGCAGATGGCGGGCGTCTCTGGGAGGAGTCAAGGGAACTGTGACCCTCCCCCACAAGCTGAGCAAGCTGGCGGACATGTGAAAGGTGGGACCTGCGGGGGGGGGGGGGGGGGGGGGGGATGGGGACAAAGGAGAGTTGTAGAGCAGGGATGGAAGCGAGCACGAGGCCACCAACTTCTATGACAAACTTTAATGACTCGTTTCGTGCAGCTTGAGTGAAAGGGCCTGGGAGTCAGTCAACCCACAGGCCGGACACTCAGATGGCCTAGCAGCACCACCACTCTGGCCTCCTGGAGGCAGGCGGGGAACAGAAAGCCAGCCAAGAGAACATGTCCAGGTGTGCTGGGCACAGCACACGTTCGTTAGTGCCCAGGACCACAAGGATGGTGCGATGTTCACCCAGGAGGAGACATGACACACCTGAGGAGATACAAGGGTGCCAGCTGAGCAGGGCAGCTGTGGAGGCTGCACGGCGGCACCCACGAGAAATGCCCATGAACTGTGGGGGTCGCAGGGTGGGGGTCGCAGGGTGCTGGGCAGAGCAGCCCGAGGACCCCAGAGACCACGTCACCCAGACAGGTGGAGGGACAGAACCGGAGATCCATGAGTGTGCAAAGTTAAGCAGCGGTGTGAGAACTCTATTCCAGTGTGAGTGCATGAGGAGGGGGCACAGACACACACGTCAGAACCACAAACAGAAACAGGAGGACACGGGGGCTAGTGAGGAGACCCAGAGCAGCAAGTCAGGGGCAGGTCTGCCCCCGGGGGCTCCCACGAGAGCCCAGAACCAAGGTCCCGAGTTAGAGAGTCCACAGACAAGGAAGGCCCCGGCCGGGGAAGGTCTCCACCGCAGGGTCTCTCCAGCAGGAAGCAGGCCAGGCACAAACAGGGAGTGTCCGGGCACTGGCTGGAGGAGACCAGGCACGCGATGGAGGAGGTCTGGAGAGGCCCCCGGGCATGGGCTGCGTCCTCAGGCCTCACTGCTGCTGCCGCTGCCCCCTCGGCTGCTGCCTCGCTCCACCCACACAAGGCGAGCCTGCTCTTGCAAGATGCGGCCACGCACCACCTTGGCCAGCTCCTCGGCGTGGCTCCAGGCGTGGGCAGGCACCTGCACCCAGGAACACGGCAGTACCCAGAGCCACTGCTCTGTGCCCCGACACTGACGGAGCAGCTCTGAATCCCGCCAGCCTGGCCGGCCCAGGAGGCCCCTGGAGAGAAGGGTGGTGATCAGGGCAGGCTGCACATGTGTCCACACACACACACACACACATACGCACCATACACAATATATGTACAGACATACATGACAGACAATACACGTAACACACATGAATACATCCTGATACACAATACACAAAGCACACACCAATACACATTGATACAGATACACACATACAACTACAACACACACGATATACATACGAAACATGGTACATACATAATACATAACATGTGTTATACATGGCTTACCTGATACACACATGACATGAAGGTTACACGTGTGACACATGATATATGCATGATAACACAGACAAGATAGATTCACAGTGCATACTACATCTATGATACATACACACAAAACACCCAGAACATACACACACGATACACATCATACAACAGGATTATACACGAACACACGACACATGCGTATCTATGAGACACACAGTATACATACCTATGACACATACATACACATGATACACAAAATGTGGTCTGACCCATGCTACAGACCTAACCCTCTCTAAAGATAAATACCCACAACACACATACAGGATACAAACATACAGATGCAGAGACAGAGGCTTCCACAAGGGGGCGCCCACCCCGGGCCACCACTCACCGGATCTCCCGGACATTCTTCTCCGTCACCTCCACGTGGATGACGATGGGGTAGACCTCACTCTGCACCAACTCCCGCACGCCCCGTGCACCCAGCTCCAACAGACAGTGCTTCTTCACAGACAGACAGACAGACAGACAGCTTACTCCTGGGCCCACCTCCCTGCCGCACCCATCCAGGCACCACCTCCCGGGGGAAAGCCCTGCTTCATTGGCAAGGAACCAAAGGAGACTGCAGACCCAAGTTCATGAGTGACCTGGAGGAAGGTCAGGTCCCTCTGCACCTGGCTCTCAAACCCCCACCAGCCGCCTCCCTGCCGCCCCCGGCAGCAAGCAGGACAGTGGAAGTTCAGACACAAGGATGCTCAGGTAAGCAACACCAGCCCACTCCTCAGGGGACCCCCAAGAGTTACGGTCCTGACCCAACCAGCACAGGGAGAGCAATGAAGAGCCCACAGGGAAGCCCAGATGCTGACTCTGGATCCCAAACGGCAGCCTACCCTGCTTCAGCGCTTACCTTCCCAACAGATTCCTGGATGGCACGGATCCTGCCGCCTAGCCCGGGGGTGGCAGGACAGGCCTTGGGGGCTCCGGGAGCAGAGGATGTGCACTGTTCCTCTCCAGAGAGGCTTTCTGTGGAGAGAAAGGACATGCAGGGTCCAGGGCCACCCAGACGCACACCCTTCCAGCCCCTCGCCAATCCACCCACCCGCCTCGGCGGCAGGCTCACCTGCGGGGCACACTTGGAAATCCAGCCTGGAGCTGGGCAGATCCAGCAGGTTTCGGATGAGCCGAGGCGCCAGGCACTCGGGCAGGAGCACCACAGGCCGCAGGGCAGACACCAAGAGTGGCCGCACCAGGCTGTAGGGTTTGAGGCTTCGCTCTGGCTCTGCAGAGGAGAGGGTGTGGGAGAGGTGAGGGGCTCCACAGGGATAAAGGCAACACCCCCTTCTGCCGCCTATCTTTCTTTCCTGGGTCCTGCTAAATTCCTACACACAGACAAGACAGACACACACACACAACACACACACAAGAGCTGGGACTCTTGCAGGAGGCGTCTTTCTGACCGTGTCTCAGATCTGCCCCCTACAGGCCACTTCCCACTCTGCACTTAGGGGGAGAGGCTTCCAAATGGTCAGCCATCAACCCTATCAGGGGACTTCCTGCTTTTTAATGCACTGCTGACTTTCCAAACATCCCAGGGCAAAGGCCGCACCCTCCCAGTGGTGACAAAAGCACTGCCTCGGGGCCTGCCTGGGGAGAATACAGCACCTGATCTTGCTCCTGCCTTAGCTGCCTGCGAGGTCAGGGCTTTTTGCCAGAAGCTCAAAGTCACCGTGCACCTGACTCTGTCAGCCCAGGTAACTTCCATGAGCCACCCCAAGCTCAAGTCACACCTTCCTACGTCCCTAGCACACGCTACAGGGCAGCTCGCTCTAACTACACTGTCTCCTACTAGACAGGGAGGCCCTGAGCAAGAGGTTGCTGAGTGCCCTGGACCCCAGACCCTCTCTCTGCACCCACCCTCCTCCAAAGTCACCTCCCACACCACACTCCAGTGACTATACATGAGCCCTCCCTCCTATCAGCAGGCTCCTTTTCCTCTCTGGATGCCCCAGTTGAAAGGGCCTCCCCTCCAAAAGCTTTCCTAACCTCGGGATCTGTGATACCCCTCAGAAGTACTGCTTCCTCTTCTGGCTCCTCCCCAGCCCCTTCCTCTCCTTGGTGTGGTAGGTGGGGCTGGCGTCAACCCTCATCAGAGCCACACACATACCCACACCAGCACCCACCAATGGGCTATCTTCAATCCATCCCACCACCAGGGAGCCTTGTCCCTCGAGAGCGTCCCCACTGCCAAGCCAGGGGCCACTCAGAGGCACAAAGAGCACCCGAGCATCGGGGATGCTCCCCATGCCCTCAGATTCACCTGAGCAGGGCTCCGCCGGTGGCTGCTCCGCCGAGTCTCCCGCAGCGGCCCCTGCAGGCTTGGGCCTCACCAGCCCCAGGGCTCGCTTCTTCAGCTA